AATCACAGCATAATGCATAAAGACTACAAGTTCCTACTAGCTTCTAAAACCCAAGGCAGGAGATTAGTTAGTGTACTATGATCCGCCTACAAAATATCAACAAATAGTGCACGACAGTCTACCTGTTCAAAGCAGCGAACAACTCTATTCAGAAGCTGCTACGCCACGCCACCGGATCCGCAACTTCTATGCAAGCAGATAGAAGGCGTCTACAAATATTTCAAAATACCCCTGCACGTGCACCGTAGTTTGTATACACATAGGTACACTAAAAGGGGTAAAAGAAATCATAGAACCCGCATGGGCCCCGGCAAGCGTGTTATTGTTACACACGTGATGTCTAGGGATGCTGCGCGGGTTATTAAATTTGAATCCGATCCTCCTAAGCAAGTAAATAGGAGTCGACAAGGTTCAATCAATAATTATAAAATGCCCCCAAACCCGCATGGGCCCCGGCGAGCATGTTATTGTTACATACGTGACGTCTAGGGATGCTGCGCCCGATCCTCCTAAGCAAGTAAATAGGAGTCGAAAAAGTTCAATCAATAATTTTAAAATGCCCCCAAACCTGCATGGGCCCCGGCGAGCGTGTTATTGGTACACACATGATGTCTAGGGATGCTACGCGGGTCTACAAGTGAATTCTAGTTCGAACCCGATCCTTCTATACGGGTCAATAGAAGTCGACAAGGTTCGAACCAGCAAACAAATATACGGTTGTGGCGACCGTCATATTTACCTTAATACATTCATATTAGGCCTTCAAGGCCTATAATAATGAGAATTCACTATCAAGGGCATAAAGCCTACAAAACCCGATCCTTGATCAATAGCTTGGTCGAGTTGATAGGGTTCAATCAATAAAAGATAAATGACCCCAAACACCCCGATGATGATCGTGTCGAATGCTAATCTCAACCGGAGGGATTCACAAATATTTCCAATCCCGTTCCAAATATCCAAAAATCCAAAAAAAATCTCAAAATCCCAAAAATCCAAAAATATTTTAAATTTGAAATCTAACTATCAAACACTTAAAGCAAACTTCATCCACCTTCTGCAACAGTTTGTCGGGGTGGACAAATTAAAAAATACTTCATCTCAAAAAGAGCTAATGCCTGGTCGAAAATATCACTAGAATCTATTCTCAAACAATCTCCTGCTAGTAAGGATGTGGTACGTGTCCTCTAACCGGCAGTTTACCGTCAAATGGCACCGCAGGATAAACGGTTATGACCCGGGGCCCTCTGAACCGAGTGGTTTTGGCGCCAAATGGCACCACGAAATATTGGTTATGGCCAGAGCCAATACGTTCCATATTGGCATCAAATCCTTGAGATATGAATCATTAGGATATGATCGATAGGGCACTAAGCCCTCTGTTAGCTAAGGTGAATTCAAATTTGTCCACTAAAGCAAATATCCACCCCAAGTCTACAAGGTACTCTTGGACGAAGCAACCCATGGCTGCCGACAAGGATCCTTCCGTCAGGTTGGGTCGACTACCTCCTCTGACTAAGTAGATCAGGGACCACGATGGCTCGGGTCGACGGAACCATGAGATCTTGATCAGGTCTATCATCCATTCCCCCATCATCCGCTTTAAGTGCTAGGTGGTGAAATTTCCTATTTTAAATATCGAACTTTTCAAATCTTTCCAAATTCCCAAATCCAAACCCAATTTCCAAATCTTCAGATTTCCAAAATTCCATACCAATTGCTGCTACTATATGCCAGATAACACGTATTTCTACGTATCTGATTGACGACTAGCCTTAATCAAAAGTTCTCTCTCGTGATCGGGAGAGGAAATTAACTATAGGGGCTTGCGCCTATAGGAAACCAGAACTCAGATCATAAAGTCCTCACAAAATGAGGACGAAATCTCTGGGTAGTGTCTTATCTACAAACCCATCTGCCTTCCAAAATTTACCTCGGAACTTAGTTCGTTAAAACTCCCCCGCCG